TTTCCAGTGCGGTGACGAACTCGGCTCAATTGTCAGGCTAGACTAGGGGTGGGCAATTATTTTGGCCAAGGGGCCACTTCACGAGTTTTGATGAGCTTCGAGGGCCGCAAACGTACGTAAAGAGGCAATTGCACAATAATAGCTCAATGTAAAGTTTTACACTTATATATACGTAAGATGAAGTTTATACTTGACATTTATTGAAAACTTGGTTAAAGAAAAACATTATTGAGCAGACATTTATTCACATATAATTGATGATAATGTGAGAAATTCACTCAATGGGAAGAATGAAGGCGCTGATGTGCCAGGGAATTGAAGTGAGGCATCGTCTCAGTTGCAATGCGAAGCACTGCTGATAGGCGGTCATCGGTCATCGCGGATCAACATTTTGACTTATCGAATTTCATCACAGAAAATGTCATATGCATGTTGATCCAAGTAGCACGAGCCCCTTCCGGGCATGAGCTTTAACTCTTGGAAAGGACTGTGCATTGAGACAGGCATAAAAATGAGGAAGCGGCACTGATTTGAATGCGGTGCACCGAATTGCAGGTGAGTTAGCTCGAGTTGGAAGTCAAATTTGGGCTTTGTCAAAATGAAAAGGGGAAAATTGAGGAGACCGAAGACAGGCCATTTTCGATCATTTGGAAATCCTCGAATCGGCGAGAAAATTCAGCATACAAGTTGAGCAGGGACGACGTGTATTTTTTTCCGGTTTTGATGACAAACAGTAATCTGCTGCAAACTGCTTCATTGCTATCCGACGGGAGAAAAGGAGTAATTAGTGAGTAATCAGTGACAGTAAGGAGTAATCAGCGACTTGACACTGCAAAACAAATCGTGAACGCATCCCATGCGGTTTTGCATTCGGTTCGTGTGCCCCGTGATGTCAACGGCAAATGCAAAATCGGAGAGCCGATCCGCATCATTCAGCTGTGGGAAATCCGAATCTTTTTCTTTTTCACGTCCAAAAACGAAGGAATCTCTGCTCTCAATTCCCGCACTCTTTTCAAGAAAATGCATTGTTCTTTTTTGCATTCGAACAACCATCTCATCACCTTTCTTTGCCCTTTATTTGCATGCTTGCTTGCTCGCAAAATGGCGATCAAAATTGTATTCTTTGAACACTTTAGTTGGAAATTAAGCCCATTGCTCTTCCACCTACGTCGGTAAAAAAAAATATTTCTAAGGCCTTTTTTGTTGAATATTCGGCGTTGAGTGTCCACTTTCCTCTTCTTCGATGAGCTCATTTCCGAATTCACGCTCACAATTCGCGGGTGATATACAGGGTGTAACATAAGTTTTAAAGCAATATAATGCATTCACTATGCGGCGTTAGTGATCCTGCTAAATTTAATGGTATGCAGTGACCTGGTGCATGTGTATACTATACAATGATAAAATAAAAACAGTGTGCATTCATTGCAGAATAATGACGCGCGAAAGAATTGAAGCGGGGTCATCGATGTACCGCAATTTTGCGTGCCCTGAATTGGGGGAAAAAAAAAGCAGGAAGTCATTTGTCGAATTCGAAAGTTTGGAGCCACTGGTGGTGTATGACCGCAAGAGATCCGGTCGACCACGTTCAGCCGGGGCGGAGCACCTTAAAAGGAACGTTGAAGAAGCTGATCGCAAGAAATCCGGGTCGGCCGGGAAAATTGATCGCCGATGCGGTGTTTTGCATACGAAAATGAAGCGAGTATCGAAAAATGATCTCGAAGTCCTTCAAGGGTCGTAAAGGCCATGTACTGACTGCTCCTCGGTGCCAAAAAAGGTCCTGTTTACGGGTGAGAAAATTTTAACCGTGAAACAGGCTCAAAATGCTCAAAATGATAGGGTTAATGCAGTCAGGTGTGATGAAATTCGTGAGGAATTTCGGTCGGTACCCCGCCAACAGAATCCTCAGAGCGTAATGGCGTTCGCAGGGGTGTGCAGCTCAGAGCGTACTTCGCTGCATTTCGTGGATCCAGGGGCGAAAATCAATCCTCGGTACTATCGCGATAGGACTTTGGAAGGTGGCACGTCGCCCCTTTGGAAGGTGTCATGTTGCCCGGGTCTAGACGATTATTTCCACGTGGTCGGTGGGCTTTCCAACAGTTTGGAGCGACTTCACACAGCAGTGGTTGCGTGACCATGCATTTGACTTCGTCTCAGAGGACAAAGGGCCGCCGAGCTCGCCTGACCTTAATCCCATGGACTGTTGCATCTGGTCCGTTCTCGAGGCATTGGTCAACGCCAAAAATTATCGCGGTTTCAAGAGTTTACGAGATTCTCTACCCAAGGGGTGGGCCAAAACGCCCAAAGATACTATTCGAAACTGTACAGTTGGAGGTACTGCTGTTGTGTAACCGGATAATAATTTTTGTTTCTGTATTTGAGGAGCAGTGATAGATAAGGCTCTCTTTAAATCTCATGTTACACCCTGTAAATGCCACAATTCGCCAATTGTTACACAAAAAATGCGAGTCGGTAAGTCTTGAGCCCTGTTCTCGCGTGTCGCTGTCGAACGCCGCACTGACGACCCTCTCGGTCTCCCTCTCTACGCCAAACCATGACTTGCGTCAGGTCACAGAGGTCACATGATATGCGGCGAGCCGAAGAGTGGCCTCTGCTGCTATGCCGAATCCCGCAAAAAAAAAAAAAAACAGAGAGGCGCTTTTTTATTTTCTCCAATCTGCTGTATCTGCCCTATTTTGTGAAAACCTGTCACAGCTCAGCAGGAGACACAACAGAGCCGTAAAAAGGGCGGGCTTTTTCCTACGAAGTCGCATGCCGAGTGATCTTGGGATGATCCACCCCCTCCCTATCTTTTTATGAAAATCGCCACCGAATCCGTCCTCAGGCTGTGGATTTGAATCGCATTTTGAGGAAAGGAAGAGGTCCTAATTATGACAAACGAGCTAGCTCGGCACCTGTTCGGATTAAAACTGGCCCTTTCTGGGATTAAACGAACAAAAATTTTTCCTCTTGCTAGACATTATTATTATTATTGTTTCGACTCCAACCTTTCATGGGATTCGAGTCGTTAATTATCGAGACGTCATGCTTCCCAGGACCACCTGGCTCAACTGTCTCCACACTAATCCCAGAGTAGACAGGTTATCTGGGGTGTGGAATCTGGCCGTTTGCTGACTCAGTGTAAAGGGCCCTCAGGACCAATGTGGAATCACGTGAGAGTCAACTCTTCTGGTCGTTCTACCACCTTCTAATTAAGCCATCTTTCGGTATTGGGGGTATACGGAACTTTTTTTAGACCATATGAGCTATAGAATGGGTGGTTTCCCCCTGACCGCCTGTTCGTGTCCATTTTCTTTAGGTATTTCTTTAGTAGGGGTCTTTTTAATCCCACTTTTCTCAGGGTCTTTGGCACGGAGAATGCATGCTTTCCTATTCCGTTGCGTGCCATCAAGCGTGCTTTGAATATTAAGATCGCGAAATAGAAGCAGCAGAGTTTGCCCATCTTCCTCACTCCAAACAACACGAACACTCACGGTGAAAAGGAAAAAAAAAAAGAGGACGGGAGCAGAAGGAAGAGTTCAGCACGCCTATCAAATTATGCTTATCCCACTAATGCGTTTCGACTGAGATCTGAACCTGGGACGGTCCCAGGGCGACCCTGGGATGGACCGGTTTGCCCGGCGGCGTTTCTCACAGCGGGAGGGGGGTGAAAGTGTTTCGACTAATCCCAGAAGCCGACTATCCCATGGCGATCCCAAGATAACGTCTCAGTCTAAACAAGGCTATTATGGCGGGCCGTATTTTGCCCAGCCCTGGGCTAGACTGTTAAGCGCATATACGTTGTTTCCGCTCGAGTCGAGCTCGAGATGTTGCAGAAATAGGCTAGGGATAGGGCTGTGGATCGATTAAAAACGTTAAGCATTTAATCGAGAGCCATTTAATAGCCACGGCCATGGTGGAAGATGATGCAAGTGCTGATAAATGCAGTCAATCGATGTCAAAAGTCAATCGATGGACACTTTTGTTTCGTTCTTTGAACCGCGAACGAGCGTATTAGCCGTGTCTTCCTTCGACGCGTTTCGCTGGTTCTTTACGACGCACCCAGCAGATAAGAATAGGCGCTCACACGGATATTCCAAGATTCTTGTGCGAAAG